GCGAGGGGCAGCCCCACCACCGCGGGCACGGCCCCTGGTCGGCGCGCGTCTATTGAACTGCCATGGCACGCTGCTCGCCAGCTGTTCTCCAGAGGTTTTATGGACATTGCTTTCCAAGTAAATATTTCTACTTCCCTCTCCTTGATTTTTTCCTTGATGGGCTCGCTCTGGAGCATCTGCAAGATGGGAAATCTTTGTGTCCCAGCTGTGAGGTGTGAGCGGTGTTTTCCCAGAAGAAATCTCAAAGCACATCCCGAGCAAAGAAAACACCACTATCTACGCCGTTATGTACCTGTGCACACACATAAAACGTTGCTGCGATGAACGTGTCGCTTTCGGTGCCTTTTTCCAGCACTATAAACCAGGATTAAGTTTGTATAAAGCAAATATTAATGTGTCGGGAAGATTGAACTCTGAGATCTAACATCATCTGAGCACGGGAAAGAAAGAAATTCTTGTAATAGCTGATAAGCTCTATCTCCACGTCCACCAGGAGAAAGCGGCTTCGCGTTCCCATCTCATTGACGGAGGAATCTCCTCCTCCTCCTCTTTGGTTTCAATGGCTTCAATGTCTGCAAGTGAAGATATCAAAGAGCACCGTTCCTGAACACTTTGCCACTTGCTGAACCCTGGTCAGCAGCCAGGGCCTTCCTGGTGTGTTTGCCTTTGGTGTTTGCCTCTCCTCCGACCATCATCCTGTCCCTTTGCCGCTTGGCCAGTGTGCTCTGCCCCGGCCGCTGCCTGTGCTGGTGCAGGAGCTCCAGCTCACTCCTCCTCTCCTCTGACATTGCCAGGGAATTGGAGGCTCTTCCAGGATTTTGAGCACTGAAAGGATCGCCCCTGCCTCTCGGGGATAACACACCGGTGGATTCGCTTCCATCTGCTTTCATCCAGGCCTGTTACAAGGATTTCGCTTTCCCCTTTCCATGCCAGACCGAGACAGTGCCCGCCCATGTGCCCCTTCCCACCCGGCACTGGGACCCATGCAGGCGCTGCGTAACCCCAGAGAGCTCCCCCGAGCAGGGACCGTCCCCACATCGGTGTGAGACTGAAAGGTGACAGACCGCTGGCGTGGGGCAGAGCGAGCAGGAGGACGCTCCCCTGCGTCCCTCCAGCAGCACCCAGAGCCTGGGGTGATGCTTCCTGCAGAGCAGAGCAAACCGGTAACAACCTCCTGCCCTGGGAAACTGCCTCCTGACCCCAGATCGGCACGCAGAGGGGATGGAGCAAGCAAAAAAGATCTTCCTGACCCCTGCCAGTGACATTTAGCGCTCTGAAATGTGCTATGAATTAAAGTCCACCATGTACGAAGCAAAAAAAGATGGTCAGCAAAGGCTGGGACGCTCCCAGCCTTTCTTTTCCCAGCCTGCACGGACTTTCTGCTTCCATGCAGAAATCCCAGAGTCACATTTGGCCACTAAACTGGGAGGCCGCTGGCCAATTTCCCTTCTAAAAATCCAAGGTCACCACTAGCCCCTGCACTTTCCCGTGAGGTTATGGTTTAAGCCTCGTCAAGTGAACAAGGCTCCTGCAGCCCATCCCACCCGTCCCGGCAGTGACCGTGGTGCTCTGCAGGGAGGGGAGGGAAGTGGCACACAGCGGTGACCAGGAGATGCCCTGGGGAGCCATGCTGACACCCACGCAGCAGAAAACCCGACGCTGCAGCCCCAGACGGGAACGGGCAGAGAGACCAGCTGTGGACGGGAACGGGCAGAGAGACCTTGTGCAAGGTGCTCGTGGTCTGAACGACGAGAAAGAAACATCCTGCGGCTGTCAGGAGGTGAGCCCCTTCCCCACGGCTCTCTGCGGCCAGGAGACCACCAGGGCTGTTGTCTCGCTCCCCTGGGAACCCAGCAGTCTGGGTAGCTCCTCTCGCCCCTTCAGAGCATGTCTTCTGCTGCTCTGTGAGCCCAGAGGACGAGGTGAGACAGGGCAGGTACAACAGAACCACGTCACCTACCGGCAGCGTCACGATGTCCTCCAAAATGCTCTCAAGACACAGCGTGGCCATGGACTGGCACAGAGCTGAAAGGGAAAACGGGTCTGTGTAAGCACTGGGCCAGTGTGTAACTTGTTTTTGAGAAGAAATTGAGAAGAAACACAGCCCTCTGGTCGGCTCCACGGCCGCTGGCGAGCGGCAGACGAGCGGTGCAGCAATGCCATCCGCTGCCTCCAGCTGCCGGCGAGCCGAAACCGGGGCCGGAGGGGCACGCTGCGCGGTACCTTCCGCCTTCCAAAACCCGGCCTTCATTGCCACGCTGAGAACGAAACCAAGCGCGTTTGCAGTGGTAGCTCCACACTGTTCATGTAAACCACTAAAATGGTTCAACACCCGATCTTCCCCGACGGGGAAGGAGCGTCCCTGGTCTGCCACGGGGATGCCGCGTCCGTGAAGTCTCAGCCGGGGGAATGGCTGGGGCTGCCAGGAGCCACCTGCCAAGCAGGGCAGGTCTCATCACCACTGCGAGCACTGCAAGTGCCGCGAGTCCTCAGAGAAAACGGGCGCGAGGAGCTCACAGTGTGTAGACACAGACACCACGGACAGTCTTCAGCAGGGACAGGTCTGAACACAGCTTTTGAAAGGCAGCGTTGTCACCAGGCTGAGTGTGACAACAGCGGTTTGAGGATATTTTACTGGAGTTAAAATTAAAAATGTTAGTCAAATTCTCTAATTATATCCCTTATTCATATCCATATGCAATAGTTGTGCTGAGCTCTGGTACCCGGTGCCCTCAGCACCCGCACATCCGCTGCCCTCCCAAGCACTGCCCAAGGTCACAGAATCACAGAATGGTTGGGGTTGGAAGGGACCTCTGTGGGTCATCTAGTCCAACCCCCTGCCGAAGCAGGGTCACCTACAGCAGGCTGCACAGGACAAGGTCGCTGCAGGGAGACAGGTTCACAGGGATGAAACACAAGGACATCCGAGTTTGCCAGCGCTATTGGCAAAATCCAGCTCTCTGGACAAATCCTTCGTATTCCAAACCCAGCGATGGAAGAAACAAGATGATACACATGCCTTCATATCATCCTGGGGCCATCCTCCAAAGAGGCACTTCTCACACCCTTTTACTTTCAGCCCAGTGAATTTTCATATGTACTCACGGCATGTGCAGCCCCACAGCGACGCAGACGCCAGGCTTTGTTAGCTCAGCAGAACATCATTTGCTTTGACTCACGGCATGTGCAGCCCCACAGCGACGCGGACGCCAGGCTTTATTAGCTCAGCAGAACATCATTTGCTTTGCAGTGCTACAACACTCCATTACAGCATCCTCTTCCCTCTGCCCATAAATAGGAAGTATTCTGAGGTCAAGGCTACTCGTCTCATGAAATACCTTCCCCCGTGTCGAGCAGCAAAGTGACTTTTCTTTCCACCCTGTCCTAACAATCTGGCTATGAGATGTGGGAACCAGGACAGGGCAGTAATCACAGCAGCTGGGGCTTGGTAGAGCCCTGCAGGGGCTGGTCCAGCCCCATGGTCCTTCATGGCAAGAGGTGATGGTGGCCTGGGAGAGGCTCTGGCTCCTGGGGACCTGAGGCAATTCCTCAGCAGGCGCACGGACACCATGCCGGGAGGAGGCACTGTGCTCATTAGCTGGTGTCACCAAGCTTCCCCAGAAAGGGAGAACTGATTAAACAGCAGCCAGACATTGTCTCCCCTCGGCCAACGCTGAGGGCTGCAGTGACAGCGGTGTGACTCTGCCCTAGGTGGGCCCCGCTCCCCTCAAGTCACAGAATCACAGAATCACAGGATGGCAGGGGTTGGCAGGGCCCTCTGTGGGTCACCCAGCCCAGCCCCCTGCCCAAGCAGGGTCACCCAGAGCAGGGGGCACAGCACCGCGTCCTTTTAGGCCAGAGCAATGTCTGCCCACGCAGGGATCAGCAAGGGGAGGGGACAGGACCCCTTCTCAGAGAGACCCTTGGGTGCCATGGTCGGGTGCAAAGGCCACCTCCAGGCTCAGAGCTGGCCACAGGTCCCCAGCCCTCGTCCGCATGGGGACAAAGGAGGCTCCCGCGCCCGCAGGGTGCCACACAGCGGGGACTGACCCCGGGGCAGGATTCCCCCTCGGCGAGGCTCCGCTGTGAGCAGGGATTTCTCGGACAGGACTTTGGGAGGGTTGGGGCTGAGCTGTTGAGCGGGGTTTGCCCATCGCACCCCTCTGTGGTGCAGCTGCCTGCGCCACGGTGCCGGCCCCGAGCCCTCGGCTGAGGAGCCACGAAAATCGAGTACCGGCAATGGCGTTACTGGCTCCCACAACAAAAAGAAGACCCCGAACAAGG